CGTACCCACTGTATCCTATGAATCACATGAAGGTGCTGTAAACTGTACCAGCAACAGCCCATTACCTCCACTGACTAAGGAAGAAACTACCATTAATGATCATGCTCCCTATGTGCTGCAAGCATACAGTAGGTCCCACATTAACAGCTATTTAATGACTTTTGTTTTTATTATTTCCTTATCTGCCGTTTCACTATTATATGTTCTTCTTTAGGCATCCATTGTAACTCACCAAAAACCTCACCTCAGAACATGCCCCAGTACAGGAATGTGTTCAATGACCACGCCAAGAGCGGCTTCTGCTACTGGCTCATTGAGAAGAAGGCCCCAAAACGTAAGTATTCGTCCAAGCTCTCCTGCAGCAAAATGTCACCAATACAGTAACTCCTTGGTGTGGCATTCACATGCACATGTGACATCCATATAGTAAATTTCTTTTAATTCTGAACCTGCTACTTAGACCAGAATTCTGAGGAAAAAATCTGAACTCAAATAATTTTATTTTGACAGTGGCCCTAATACTCTTCTGTACCAGCTGCGTGGACCAATATAATGTTTTGTTGGTGTCCAGTGATTGTAGTCATAGAGTCCAAATCTGTTGCATCTGAACAGATAGTGCCATCTGTATTTCATAAAAGGAATGTAAAAACTTCTCAATGTATATCATACAGTGTTACAATATAAAGACTTGTATTATAAAGTTCCTTGAGCTTATGGCTGGTTTATTCATTGGCCATGTGACTGATGCACTCTTTTCCTTCTTACAGGTAGCAGATGCTGTTTTGGTGCCTACAAGACTTATCTGGGATTACCAAAAGTCTAACAAAAAGTGCTCCTGTCCGAGAATGTTAACCCTCTGTCCAGATTTGTTTTAAAACATATCATTTCACTTGAGCAAACATAATGTTCACTACCTAAAGAGTGACTTGTCTAAGAAATGTCAGTTTGAAGTATTAGCTTGGGAATCCAGAAATTGTAGCCAATAATGCTTATAATGTGTGAAATACCTTGTGGTATGTCACTACTCCATCCTGAATAAAAAACAAGCAAGGGGAGCTGTTATATACATGATCAGACCCTATACTTTGAGCAAGAAGGAAACCTTCCTGCAGTGGCTGATAAAGTATCAGTTTTGTTATTCCGTTCACAATATGCACAGATTTTGACATGTGGCCTTATTTTAAGTTAATTTGTGGATATCTAGTAATGAAATTAAAATGTGCAGCCTTTTGTATAGTGTTGCCATTCAGTTTTACTTGTAAAGTTTGTGTTTCAATATACATGTTTATTTTACTTAAAATTGTAAAGGCAACTGGAATAAAGAAAAACTGGCATGTCAAAATGTGAAAATACTATTTAAAACACATTTTGCCTTCTAAATGTTGTATATTGCTTTTATTTTGTCTCAGTGGCATGAATTTAATTTTTAGATTATGATCACTCTATACATGTTCGTTTTTTTTAAAAGTTTGTTTCAAAGTACTTTCCGTACATTTAAACTAAATAAACTGTACTATAGAAATGTTACCTTAACGCTATCATCCCAGCAAAGTAAAGGCACCAGTTTCCAGTCGTTAGTAAAACCTCGTTGGTAGAATTTATCTTGCGAAATGTAATCTGCGTTCAAACCACGGATCTAAAACAGACCTTTACTGCCATCTAGCGGTTAATTTAAGATCGAGCTTAAAAAGTTGCAATAACGTCAACGAACATGCAAATGAAACATTTGTTTTTGTTCAGAAACTTTGTTAGCAAGGAATCGCTTAAACTACTGGGTAGAGAGACTGGCTGACTACTCTGATACGGGTAAGTGGCATCGTTGATTTCCCACCATTCGCTGCCATTTGTACAGTTCCGAGCCAGAGAGGTAAGATTTATTTTGGCAACTCTTCAACATTAGCTAAGATTAGCTTCAGCTAACTAAATGCATTTAGCAATGTAGCTAGCCAACTATATGTTACATACAATTAATAAATGGATAGTAGGCGCCTTTTTAAGATAGCTAGCACATTTGCGTTTTGAGTTGCAGTTTGAAACTAGGGAAAATGTGTAGTTGGCTAACTCTAGCTAGCATTTAATTGGCTAAAGGTGCTACTAAGTCATCCGCCTCTTTTGCTAACAAAAGCTGTTTTCTGCCGAGGCAAGGTCATGCTAATTCACAGCTAAATTACAGAGCAACTATAATTTAACAAACATAGTAATATAATTTAACATTTCCAGGTGTGTTATGCTACATGAAATTTGGCGGAATGTTGTTTAACATAACTAGCTATATGCTGTAGTGCCCTACTTTTGTAATTTTACGGCAATTAAAAACTGACAATAAAGCCAAGGATAGTAACGTTAATGTGCTGTAAGTTATACTTTTGACCATTCAATTAAAATATTGGTATTTTATGTCTACTCATCACCAGTAAATTTTTCACGGTTTTCTGCAGTAGGTTTTAGTGGAGGCAAATCGTCCATGGCCAAGATTTAGGTGCTGGACCTCTTTGTACATTTGGTCCCTGCGGGTTAATTAGGGGCCAGGGGCCAGTCGCCCGCCTTCTACAATTAGTAACAGCCAAACAAATGATGCACCTTATAAATATAACAATAACTTGATTTGAATAGCTCTTTTCGTAACATATTTGCACATTGCTGTTACAGAGAACACAAGAGCCAGCAATAAAGCTATGAGGTACATAAAAAAAAAATACATAAATGAAGTGAAATATAATGATATATAGGCGATTTAAATAACTGAAGTAAGTTTGACTTAAGTTTTGTATCTTTAGGGAAAAATGCACTTTTTCAGTAAATGCTATATGTTTAGTGAACGTGGCTGTTCATTAGGGCTCCATCTACTAAAACTGATAATGAGACAGACATACAGTGCCTTACGAAAGTATTCGGCCCCCTTGAACTTTGCGACCTTTTGCCACATTTCAGGCTTCAAACATAAAGATATAAAACTGTAATTTTTTGTGAAGAATCAACAACAAGTGGGACACAATCATGAAGTAGAACGAAATTTATTGGATATTTCAAACGTTTTTAACAAATAAAAAACTGAAAAATTGGCCGTGCAAAATTATTCAGCCCCCTTAAGTTAATACTTTGTAGCGCCACCTTTTGCTGCGATTACAGCTGTAAGTCACTTGGGGTATGTCTCTATCAGTTTTGCACATCAAGAGACTGAAATTTTTGCCCATTCCGCCTTGCAAAACAGCTCGAGCTCAGTGAGGTTGGATAGAGAGCGTTTGTGAACAGCAGTTTTCAGTTCTTTCCACAGATTCTCGATTGGATTCAGGTCTGGACTTTGACTTGGCCATTCTAACACCTGGATATGTTTATTTGTGAACCATTCCATTGTAGATTTTGCTTTATGTTTTGGATCATTGTCTTGTTGGAAGACAAATCTCCGTCCCAGTCTCAGGTCTTTTGCAGACTCCATCAGGTTTCCTTCCAGAATGGTCCTGTATTTGGCTCCATCCATCTTCCCATCAATTTGAACCATCTTCCCTGTCCAGAAGTTCAGTGAGGATCTCTGAATGATCCAATGTTGACCTAAATGACTAATGATGATAAATAGAATCCACCTGTGTGTAATCAAGTCTCCGTATAAATGCACCTGCACTGTGATAGTCTCAGAGGTTCGTTTAAAGCGCAGAGAGCATCATGAAGAACAAGGAACACACCAGGCAGGTCCGAGATACTGTTGTGGAGAAGTTTAAAGCCGGATTTGGATACAAAAAGATTTCCCAAGCTTTAAACATCCCAAGGAGCACTGTGCAAGCGATAATATTGAAATGGAAGGAGTATCAGACCACTGCAAATCTACCAAGACCTGGCCGTCCCTCTAAACTTTCAGCTCATACAAGGAGAAGACTGATCAGAGATGCAGCCAAGCGGCCCATGATCACTCTGGATGAACTGCAGAGATCTACAGCTGAGGTGGGAGACTCTGTCCATGGGACAACAATCAGTCGTATACTGCACAAATCTGGCCTTTATGGAAGAGTGGCAAGAAGAAAGCCATTTCTTAAAGATATCCATAAAAAGTGTTGTTTAAAGTTTGCCACAAGCCACCTGGGAGACACACCAAACATGTGGAAGAAGGTGCTCTGGTCAGATGAAACCAAAATCGAACTTTTTGGCAACACTGCAAAACGTTATGTTTGGCGTAAAAGCAACACAGCTCATCGCCCTGAACACACCATCCCCACTGTCAACCATGGTGGTGGCAGCCTCATGGTTTGGGCCTGCTTTTCTTCAGCAGGGACAGGGAAGATGGTTCAAATTGATGGGAAGATGGATGGAGCCAAATGCAGGACCATTCTGGAAGGAAACCTGATGGAGTCTGCAAAAGACCTGAGACTGGGACGGAGATTTGTCTTCCAACAAGACACTGATCCAAAACATAAAGCAAAATCTACAATGGAATGGTTCACAAATAAACATATCCAGGTGTTAGAATGGCCAAGTCAAAGTCCAGACCTGAATCCAATCGAGAATCTGTGGGAAGAACTGAAAACTGCTGTTCACAAACGCTCTCCATCCAATCTCACTGAGCTCGAGCTGTTTTGCAAGGCGGAATGGGCAAAAATTTCAGTCTCTTGATGTGCAAAACTGTTAGAGACATACCCCAAGCGACTTACAGCTGTAATCGCAGCAAAAGGTGGCGCTACAAAGTATTAACTTAAGGGGGCTGAATAATTTTGCACGCCCAATTTTTCAGTTTTTTATTTGTTAAAAAAGTTTGACATATCCAATAAATTTCGTTCCACTTCATGGTTGTGTCCCACTTGTTGTTGATTCTTCGCAAAAAATTACAGTTTTATATCTTTATGTTTGAAGCCTGAAATGTGGCAAAAGGTCGCAAAGTTCAAGGGGGCCGAATACTTTCGCAAGGCACTGTATCTTGTTATTGCAGGAAATTGACTCATTACTGCCTTTTTGTATATTACAAGTGATGCTTTCATGTTTTCACATCGTTGCTTATTTGGTGTAATTAATGAGCTGTTCATTCCTTTTCTAATTGTATATTTGATTAAGATCTCAGACATGGACAGCAGCAGAAAGAGGTTGACGTTCAAGTGGCTACGAACTACGGTCAGCTCACCAGCACACCTTGACAGGAGAGACAGTTCTCTGAGAACACCTTCTCGCTGGAATATGTCACCACAAGATTCAAACATTTTGCCCCTCGGTGATTCTCCAGGATCTGAGGACCTTGGAGCACTAAGTCTGGACACACCCAAGAGAAAAGCAGAAGTGCTTGGTGAAAGTGTGTCCTCTCTGAGCCAAGTTAAGCTGCGGAAGCTTTCCAGGCAAATCTCTGAAACATTCAGAACTTCAAAGGTAAATCTTAATTGTAAACCTTTCGCTGTTTGTTGTCTCAACTTTGCTATCTCATCCTCTGTGTTAAATTCTTGTGAAGCAATTACTGATTTATGTATCCTGATGCACCATTGCTATTAGAAAGAAGCTATGGACAGCTCATCCGAGCAGCTGAAATCCACAGAGAGTCAGAAAGCATCACCACCTCCATCTCATTCTTTCATCTTGAAAAAGAAAGAGAGGACTCCTGAGGAGGGGTCAAAGGCTATTTACAGGATGGCAGTGATTGCGGCCATTGGCAGCACAAAGGCAAGGCTAAGCCCTTCTGACATCTCCAGGACTGACAGTAACAACCTGGCTTCACCACTTCTGTCTTCGCCTTTGAAGACTAAAGAGCCCAGTGTAGCATCATTCGACAGATTGGTAATGAGTAAAAACAGCTCCTCAATAAAACCGGAGAATAAATCAGAAGCCAACAGTACAGCTCAGGAAGATCAGGGGTCCTTCCCTTGTGTGTTTGAGGACACAGAAGCACAAAGTGACAGCTTGGAACAAAAAGCCGATGCAAGAGTAAGTCAGCAAACTCACAAGAATCTGTGTTTCTTTCCTTACTTGTTTTTCTTTGTTTATTTAGCCACAGTTTTTAATTTATTGAAAAGTAGAAGGGAGAAGAAAATTGTAATTTTTTTTCTACTCTTTATTCATGTTTTTCAGAGTATTGTGCTTAAAGGAGAGGATTCACCCCAGAGGTCCCATATTCAGTACTCAGTCTGTGTAGAGACACCCTCTCAGGACACGTTATTTGCTACAGAAAATGAACCGGAAGCTGAAGACTGTGATGTGTCTCTCTGTGCTTTGAGGTATAGCCCAGAGTCTTTGCCTTGTGTCATGACTCATCTGAAAGGCGCTTCTGATAGCCAGCAACACCAGAGTCCTTCAGTGAATACCCAGGGAACTACAACTTCCTCTCCTATCCTTGTATATACTAATGAAACCAGTGATGGCATCTTTACAGCTACTCAGGACGTGGAGATGCCATTCTCAACTTCACAGAGGACTGTCCATGTCTCGTTCAGGCCGGCCCAGCTGCCAAACGCAAGTCCTTCATCCAGAACTGAGACTAAGAATTTTTTCTCCTCCAAGACTATGACCTGTTTATCGGATCCCTTTGCTCTGCCATTATACTCGCGTAGAGTAGTATCAAACTCCACAACCACACGCAGGTGGTCAGATGTTAGCTCTTCAATGCATCACCCCCTCTACTCTCTTACTCATAGTAGCACTCCTAAGAGACGATTTTCCCTTGGGCAAGAACAAATGTGGACCAGTTACCCCTCCCTGAACGATCAGGTTGGTTTCATAGACACACACTGCCATATAGACATGCTCTATGGAAAACTCGGTTTCCGCGGGACATTCAACAGCTTTCGAAGGCTGTACAAGAACAGCTTTCCTTCCGAGTTTCAAGGCTGTATTACTGACTTCTGCAACCCAGGAATCATGGTGAAAGAGGCACTTTGGGAAGGTTTACTGGCAGAAGATATGGTATGGGGGGCATTTGGGTGCCACCCCCACTTTGCCAAGGAGTACTCAAGTGTCCATGAACAAAACATACTGATGGCCATGCGACATCCAAAAGCTGTGGCTTTTGGTGAGATGGGGCTGGACTACTCCCACAAAAACTCCACGAACATCTCCAGGCAAAAAGAGGTAAGGCTTCTTTTCATACGGTCAGACATGAATAAGACTTTGTAGCCCAATAGCAGTTTGTCTTGCTCTAGATAAGCATGTGTAATTTTGAAGAAGTCAGAAATGTGTGGAATGGAATTATAATACTGTAAAATGATGATAAATGCTGTGGCGGTGCGTGTGTCTGCTTCTCTGTGAAGGTGTTTGAGCGTCAGCTGCGTTTGGCTGTGGCCATGCAGAAGCCTTTGTTGATCCACTGTAGGGACGCAGATGATGACCTGCTGGAAATCATGAAGAAGTGTGTCCCTAGGGAATACAAAATCCACAGGTGTGTATGGAAGAAAATGGTGATTGATATGTTTTTTGCAGTAGTCATTTAATATATGTATATCAAGCAAGTTTTTCTAAATCGCAGTTTCATTGTTGGTAGCAGTGTTTGCCATTCCCACATTGGATTTAAACTGCCTACCTCTGAACAAGGGATTGATAAGAAGCGATGCACCATGGCGTTACTGTTTGACTCACATAACAGAACTTTAACTGGCAAAACGTGGGCTGGCTTTTATTGTGAAGCAGCCACAGGAAACAATGTTTTGTTGTGGTTAGTGCTGACTGATGTTGTCCTTCAGAAATATGTCTACATCATTTTATCAGTGGATTAGTTTTTGCATATTTTCACTCAATGATGTAGGACTAAAATCTTTACAGTTATGGCTTTAAGGACATTGTAAACTGTTCAGTGAATTTTCTTTCTTGATTCCTTCTGTGGTTTCCAGGCACTGTTTCACAAACAGTTACCCAGTGATTGAGCCCTTCCTGACAGAGTTCCCTAACTTGTATGTGGGCTTCACAGCCCTCATCACCTACTTCAGTGCCACAGAGGCCCGAGATGCTGTCTGCCAGATACCTCTTGACCGCATTGTGTTGGAGACGGATGCACCATATTTCCTGCCAAGACAGGTGCTTTTAGAGGTCTACAAAAACTAAAAGATTGCTCTGTTGTCATCAATAATAACAATAATAATTTGTTTATATAGCAGTTTACAACACCAAAGGGAGCTCAAAATGCTTCACAACAGAACATATAGAAATAAAAGCAGAGCATGTTAAGACACACAGACAAAAAAAGAAAAGTTAAAATTACACAAATTTAAAAATCAATGATTAACAGGCATTTTCCATCTGTCAAATTTAATAACTGAAATTTATTACATATAACTTATTGAACATGCAAAATATGAATTGTAATTACAGCTGGTTAAGTTCAGCTGAAAGTGACAGTGGCACTGATGTCAACTCGTATACGAACACTGTACAATGTAAATTCATGTTAGTCACCTTGTACTGCATAGTCTCGACTGGATGGCATTTATAACACCATGTTCTCATAGTCATTGTTCTGTATTGATCAAAAAAAAAAAACTTCAGAACTGGAAACTGCTTAAAATGTTTAAATTTGGCCCAAAACACTTGATCATCAGAGAATTAACCAGCAGTTATTTTGAGTAGTTTTTCCAGGTAAAATGCCATAATTGATTGATTTTAGGTCTTCAGTTGTTAAGATCTTCTGCATTTTATGTCACCGGGTTTTGGACTGTTGGCCAGATGAAACAACACATTTAATTGGACTTTAGTGAATTGTGACATTTATGTCAACATCTTTTTTGCAGATTCATTAATGTTACAGAATAATTATGATTTTTAATTCTTTATTTTAAGGATAAATATGGCCCCGAGTTTTCCCGCTGTTGAACAAGTACGGTTCTGCTTTGGGTTAAGGTGGCACTAACTTATATAAAGCAACCAGTTACCAGTCTTGTACTGTTAACACTGCTGCTGCACTTAAATGGAAGTAAATTCTGACTGCATTTCACATGATGAGTGTCTCTGACTATCAACAGGTCCATAAAGATGTCTGCCGATTCTCACATCCTGGAATGGGCATCCACACTCTGCAGGAGCTGAGCCTGCTGAAGGGAGAAAATATGACCACAGTTTGCGCAGCCCTTCGAAACAACACCACCCAGCTGTATGGCATATGATCTTCACAGGTGGTGGATAAAACTAGCAAGAATGAAAAGACAGAATCGTTATAGTTTGTGATGATATTTTAGTTGCTTATCACAGAAATTAAGTAGTTTTAGTCACAGTTTTTCTTGTTTTTGCTGTGTTGCCTTGACTTGTTCTAATTTGTCTGAATCTTTGTCTTGTCTGCTGTGTACTCTAGTTTGGTTTGATACACTACAGACCAATTAAAGTCTTTAATCCTGCTTCTTTATTCTTAAGTTATGGTTTGTTGAATTACTCTTTAATGCACTGAAGAAAATGAAGCTGCTCACTAATGCAGGAAAGTAACACATGAGGTGCTTGCCCTTGAGCAGAGTTTTTATTGACGAGAGTGGCTGTGGCTGTGACACTAACCCATTAGCTCGCTTTGATTTGGTGTGAGTACTTTTTATTTCATGAATGATTAGCCCAGCCTCCTTGTGGTATTTTATAATACACGGTTGCTATAGTCCAAATGTTGTATTAATGGCAGATGGATAGATGTCTCCGGTTCACTAGGTTTGACAAGAGAGATGTGTTAAAATTTACATTTATCTTTGTGCCAGGTTCTTAATGAAAGCTTCGTTTCCAAGCTTTTTAGATCCTCTTCAGTGTCTAGGCCAGACCACCCTTTTCATGGCTGTGTAGGTGAAACAGAGGGCCGGCATGTGCTTTGCTGTGTTTGGCCTAGTTACTAAGATTTGAACAGGAAGTTTTGCAGACTTGTTCTGTGAATTGGTATTTAAATGTTTGCATCTTGAATGAAACATTTTTTTTTTTTTGCTGATTAAAGATGAGACAGAAACGAAAGGTCTATTGATGCTTTATTTACAGCACGTGTCAAACTCGAGGCCCGTGGGCCAAATGTGGCCCGCCATGTCATTTTATGTGGCCCACGAGAGCTTAATAGGTGCAAATTAAAATAAGTATATTCTGCTTTAAAGTGCGCATTGACCATAAACCACACCTCCCATAATGGAAATTGATTGAGAACAGTAGTTTGACAAAATGATTATAGCTCAGTTTCAGTAATGCTATTGAACATTTGCATTTTTATTTTGTTTTACTTTGTACAGTTAAATGAAGATGTGGTTGAAAGCTCCAACGGGAGCTTGAGTTAAGATCATTTTGTTAAAATGTACACATGGCTTCATGTGTTAGTTTGTAATGATTTGGACATCAGTGATTTCTCTTGGATCTAATGGGACAGACATTAACTCTTGCATGAGTAACAATGTTTTCAGTACCTTAAAGCTTTGAAAGAAATGAGACCACCACGTCTACAGGGTACTGATGCATTCACTCGTTTTAATCATCGCTATCTAATGAAGTTGAAATTGGAAGGCATTCAGACTGGCAACTTGAAATTCCTGTCCATGATCTTCAAAGTCGTGATGGTCTTTCTGCAACAAAAGGAAACATTGTTAAAAATAACATAAATTATACAAACAAATGAGAAAGCTTTTTTATGTATAAAGCAGAGAAACAGGGTGAACCTGCAGAGCCTGCATTTCCCAGTAGATGCTGAATGATCTCCTGCAGCACCATGCTGTACTGCTCAAAGTCCCTTTCTGTCATGGTGATGCCGATTTCAAAGGGGGCACTTATCTACTCAGAGGAGACGAAGACCAACAAGTCACAGGGATGATTTTGGGTGGTGTGCTGTAGTAATGAGTGTGATTTTTCACTCACTGTGATGTGGTCGTCCTCAGGTAGTTGACTAGACTCCTCCGTAACTTGGCGGCCGAATCTAGAGGACTTGCCCTTGTTCTGTGATTGACCCAGAACAAAGAAACCTCATGACTTTAATAGTTCAGCCTTACATCAAACATTCACATGCACTCAAGGATTTTCACATGAATCAAGTATAAAATGCAGTCAGTGTATTTGAAGTTCCAACTATAATCGCACTGTCCGTACAGCTCTTAATTTCTTTTCCATGTGATACATTTTGAAATGTCTATTTAAGGAATTAAAAAATGTCTGCAGACAAAACATTTGGATGCCATTCACATGCAACCAAGGATTATTACATATTCAAAAACAATGAAAAATCAAGGTTTTAGTCATTAGACCATCATCTGCACAATTCTATCAAAGCAAAAATTTAGAAATTTGCCAGAAATTAAACATTTGACACTCATTGGGGTGGCAGGACTTTTTGGGGGGGGGGGGTTTTGTGTAAAAAGTGTAAAATAGTAGTATCTGGATTGGTAAGACATGAAACCAAACCAAGTCCTTGTTATGGAATATTAAATTATGTTGAAAGTGATGATGTTTCATAAATAATTAATCCAAAAGTGTTTTTTTTTAAAGAATTCTAGACACAGTGCCTTACCTGAGGTTTTTGTGAAGGGCTGAGGAAACTGGAGCCTGCACTGGTCGTCTTGCACCACAAGGTCAGAGAACACAGCAGAGAAACCAGCAGACAGGTGTTCCTTTTCAAAACCATTGTGGAACAAAACTCTCCCACAGCTCAATCTGCCACGCAAAATGAAGCAGTCTACAATGTTAAAGTTTGATCAGCTAAATCTGATGCTGACACTGATGAACTGGCCAACTTGGTTTGGGAGACTCTGGCATCGTACCTTTTATAGAACTTTCATCCTTTTTCATTTGAGCCTAAATACACATCAAATATAATGACAACAGGTGCCTTTGCTGTCATATCTTGGTAGAATTGGATTGTTCAAATGTTTAAACTGATAACAAAATAGGCATTTGTCTGTTGTGACCTGATCATCTTATCTGTTCAGTGGGGTGATGCAAGTAATAGTATTGTAGTCACAGAGATGCTGATAAATGGTACTGATACAACCTGTTGTGCATATGTACAGCAACATTACAAGACCATACTAATAGTTAATGGACAAGAACACAGTGCACTGAACATGAAGCCATGGTTACTTTTTAATCATCAAGTTCATATTGAACGGTCAACATGCATTTTAAAAACAGCTTACTTTTCAGTTTTTGCTTTTAAATTAAATTAAAAATGAGCATTCTTATAAAAAGCCAGCTGTTCTCTCAGTCAGACTCAAATGGCATTGCCTCTTGTTGAGATGAGTGTGTAGTATATAAGTGACTATTTTTTAATAATGGGTTTAAAATAGATCCAAATACAGTCCTAACACCAAACACAGAGATATTGTTTTGTTTACAAGTTGTTGTTTACTTTATGGCATTTCTTACTTGTTTCTTTCTATAAGATACTTCTGTGTTTAAGTTGGACATAGATCATGTATATTGAGGGGTTTGGTCAAATATTGTAGCATCAAATCATTCCATACCAAATAAAGACCTTCATAAGTCATTTATATATTTGAAACTGGGATGTTTCAAAATGTTCCCAAACAGGACTTTTAATAGTTAAGTCTTATTACAATTTTTTAGTACAAATACCTCAGTGGTCATACCTACATGTACTATATGTATGAAAGTGGGGGGAAGTGGCCTAAAGGCAGACTTTATTTCACAATACAACCAATTCAGAAGCACACTTTTAATTAAAAACGGATAGAAGGGACAGCATTGTTATAACTAGACTAAGCCTGGATCATGACCTAAAATATGGGCTGGTTGGGAAGCACCTAATAGAAAATGCAGCTGTGGAGAGGTAGTGACTGTGAGCCACATATTAATTAATAATTTAATTAGGAAAGACGTGTCCTGAACGAAGAACTGTCAGGAAAAGGAGTTGCATGTTACCCATTTAAATCAGTACTCCTGCTCAGGACTGGAATTCAAGAGAAAATTGGTTATAAAATCTCTCCATAACACCGGACTATACATAAAGCTGTAGTAATAGGTCGAAATCTGCAAATCCCCGGTAGAGGGCAGCAACTCGCCTCGGCTGCACCTAGTCTGCCGCATAATCTACAAAAAGAAGCAGAAGGCGCAGCCAGCGGTATCGCCACTAGTTGGCGGTAAAGCGACATTTTGCAAGCGAGAGAAACGCACGAAGAAATAAGAATCAGTTTACACAGCTCCAGTTATGAGAAGTACCCTACAGATCAAACAGAAGTCGTAATCATGGATCAAAAGAAGAAACCCTTCGATGTGACTGCTTCGTCGGTGAGCTGTGTAGAGCTATACAAACATTTTAATGATAGTATATATCACTTTGACGTTTACTAGCGTTATAAGATAACAACTATAACGTTAGCTAACTTGCTGCTAGGCTAAACTACTTACGTTAGCAAATATAGTTACTTTTGGAGCTAAGGAATTAACAGCTGCAGCTTATTCTTTACTTATATTTCACCAATGCTTTGTTTCTTACAGTTGGTGGACCTTAAAGCTGAACTGTACAGGAAGCAGGAACAATTCAAACAGGAGAAACTTGGGCAAGAAAATGCGAGTGCTGGGCTCAAATCAAAATCCAAAGTCAAGGTACGCTATGGGTTACTGTTGGACATTTATCTACCTTCTTGTATAATTATAGATAGGGCTCACTATCTATTGTGTCTTGTCTTCATGCTCCTGTGTAGAAACCGAGTGTGTGGGGCAAACAAAACGCTGGTGTTTCAGCAAGAGCTGAAAAGGATGCGGAGCAGCTGGCCGAGGAGCAGATCAGTCTTGATACATCAAGGTGAGCTCAACACATTAAGCAGAGTATTTACTGTCATAACACAGAGGTGACCAAACATCTGACTTCTCATTTCTACTTTCACAACAGACGCAAGTTGGAGGAGAAGGCCAAACTCTATGAGCAGATGGCAAAAGGAGACTTTCCAGGTTGGTAAAGTATAAATGATTCCCTCCTGATATTCAGTTGGAAACATTACCTGGCTTTGAAAATATCTGTGCACAACAAACTGTACTTATTTTATTTAACTTGTGTCAGATGAAGAGACAGAGGGACTGTTTCTGGTTGACTTCACACAGAAGATTATTGACCAAAAGAGAGAAATGCTCACACAGAAAGAAATGGAGAGAGATGACAAGGAAAGAGGCAGCTCTCCACCTATACCCGCTCCTCAAAACCCAGAGGAGGAATGGTAACATCTGAGCTCATTATCTGGGAAATATGTCAATTTTGTCTATATATAAAACACACATATTACAATCATCTAAATGATTTATTTTAAACACCACCACTATTAACCTCATAAATGCATCTTATGTGAACATTATTATATTATTATTATTATACATTATTGTAAGGATGGTTTTATTAAAGCAGTTGTTAGTAAAGTATTCACCTGCTGGGTTGTTTCTCTGTAGGGTGGATTATGTGGACGCTTTGGGCCGATCTCGAAGATGCATGAAGAAAGACCTGCCAGACTTTAAGAAAATGGACCAAGATCTTAAAGGAGAAGGGTAACTATTTTACTCATATGAACATTTAAAGGGGCAGAGTCTGACTGGATTTTGGTGTCCTGCTGGGAAATGTAACTGTTCTGGATATGATTGTTCAATGTAGAAAAGCCTCATCTGGGAAGACTTTACTCTCCGAGGACATGCGCCGGGAGCTACAGAGGCAGGAATGGGAGAGGGAGGAAGAAGAGGCTATGAAGAGGCCTGTTGGACCGATCCACTATGAGGACATCAGAGCGCAAGGTTTCTATCAAAGCATTTAAAGAAAGACTTCTGCACACTTTTGGAAATACAGCATGTGCTGAGCTTTTTAAGTGTTGTTGTAAAAAGATATTTTATCTGTTTGTTCATGTCAGAGGCTCGTGAGCTTGGTGTGGGCTACTTTGCTTTCTCTCAGGATGAAGAGCAGCGCAGAAAGCAGAGAGAAACTCTGGACATGCTCAGAGGCCAGGTGCGCTGCTAATCTATATGTACATATAAAAAGATATACAAGTGTGTTTTAAAGTGGCCATGGCATGCTCATTTCCAGCCATTTAATATTTACTCTTGGGTAACTTTAGATTAGCTTTGCGCCAATAATAACTCCAAACAGCTGGTAATTATTTCAGAATGATAAAACTCATCACAAGCAATGATAAAAGCATCACAAGAAGAGCCTCCTCCTGAAAACGAGAGGATAGTTTGTGAATGCGCACAACTCCTGTTATCGGTAAGGAAGCTACATAAACAAAAAAACTTTGACAAATAAGTTACATTTCCAACAGTAATAATACCTCAAATCCTATAACCCTACCGTTAAGTCCCACCGAGTAGTGGAAACATCACTCCCTTTCAAGTAGCTCCAAGGTTGGAAAATCCAATCAGTGATCGCTGCATCTTTCCCCACAAATCCCTCACTCCATTCACGCCACGTTAGACCCGGTCAGGTAAAACAGCGAGTCCCTGTAACGGAACATTCCCGGACATGCAATAACCTCAGGCCCTGTATTTTTCTCCACCTTCTCTGGTCACAGTGCAGGAGAGGAAACTATATCCACAAAACCAGGAACAGTCAAAAAAATCCCGCTTTTAAAACAGCACCAGTGGATGTCAGGCAAGCTCACATGAACACACAACTGCCTGGAGATTATGACCATTGAAGGAAATTCATTAATGATTGCGTAAGACTTTACATAGTCGGGGGGGAAAAAAGGTCCTGCCAGCAAGACTTGTATAAACCGGGTTGCATCTGCATAGAAGTACAACATAGGTACACCTATTTTTGAGCTTTAGGTCACGTTTAAGATGATAATTCATCGTTGTAACATTGTAGATAAGTCAGAAAGTACAGAAAAGCGTGTCACAGGCTCTTTAAGCATGTGTAAATAAACACAGTAAAACACCACCATTCCCTAATATCCACTTCACATTGTTGGCTTTTGCATATACCTTATTTTTTTAACTCAACACTTTCCAGCTTTTGCCTTTCTGTTACACACTTAACATCTTTGTGTGCGTGTTATAACTATTTAAAGAATTCATTCTGAGTCTGAACAGATGGTCAGTGCTGCTTTGAGTTTTTCATCCATCCTGTTCTTCAGACAACAGAGCAGCGCACTAAGAGGGGACGACTGAAGGAGAAGAGGCAGGCAGTGCTGCAGGCCCGGCTGGCCAAAGTGAGGCAGAGGAAGATGAAGAAGGCCAAGCTGGATGGCACAGAGGAAGAGGAGAGAGAGGAGGAGAATGAAGGTTAGAATCCACACTATTGGATTTTACAGAAATCAAACTCTTTGTGTAGCAAGATACTGTAGCATTTTAATGATCCGATGAGTGACGATGGGGGGTTGCTGTGAATTCTTTCTCCCAGGTGAGGAAGAGCAACGTGAATCAACTGGACCCCCACTCCCACCAGAGGATCCCCCAGAGGTCAGCATAGTGAAGAAGGTGGAAGTGGAGATCCAGGAGAGGAGGGACACGAAACCAGGAGTTCCTCATGTCAGAGAATGGGACAGAGGCAAAGGTAAGCCTTATTATTTAAAGTCTGTATGTCCTTATGAGTGTGTTGAAGGTATGTTGGATGCAAGATGTAAAAGCAGTGATGTAAAACTTTATTAAAGTAGATAATAAAATTAATGATGGCTGAATTCCATTCAGCTGCTCCAGTGTCAGGCTCCTGGTATTGTGCACGTTGGCTCACTGTCACACGTCGTTAATGTCATTAGTAACACCTGTGCTTTATCTAGTGTGACAGGTCACAATGTCTGCTGTGAGAGGCCTGTTTCATAAATGAGCAGCTGTCCTTTCTCCTTTCTCTTTGTAACGCTCACACCATTTGAAGTCCGATGGATGGGGTTGTTAACATACTATAGTGTGATTCTAGTATGCACCTCTCCACTGAAAAACAACTTGATATTAATGCTGCAAATATCAGTTGTGTCAAGAGGCGATTCATTTTTCAGTCAGATTCTGATCATCTGTAAGTGTTTGGTCTATCCTTCAGATGTTTTCATGCAAACTGCCCATAAAAACCTGGGAGGGAATAGTGGAGGTTTGGGAGAAAATCCAAAGTACTGCAAAAAAAAAAAACAAGGTTTGGCTGAAGTAGAAAGCCCTTCCCTCAGGAAAATGAAAAATGTACCATGCAGTGGAATCAGACTTAGGGAATAAATGATGATGTACATAAAGACTGCAACTTCAGTGTGACTTAAGCATCTGCTCCGCTGGAAGGACTATGGATAGCAGCATTGGATCAGTGTGTAGCTATAGGAAATGTAACTGTCCTCACACTAGTACATGAAACAAATATATCCGAACTATCCATCCTGTTTTCTACATCATTTCCCTTTTTTTTTAAGTTTGATTGGTGCTCTTTTAATTACATCATGTTGTGCCCTGTTCTCTTGCAGTGGTTTAAAGGCAACCAAATGGAAGTTTAGCACCACTGAGTGGTTTTAAAGATCATGGTCGCACTTTTGTCTCACACACTTGTGCTGGATTTGAAAACTAGCTTCTTTAACTCTACCTTTGTATTTTGTCTTTCAGAGTTCATGTTCAGTGAGTGGAAAACTCGGTGCCGAGAAGAGCGTGATTCAGAATTTGCACCTCCCTCTGCATATTTTTCTGATGAGAAGCGACAGAAACCAGTGAAGATAAAGACTCGGGAGAATAAATCCAAAATGTCCTTCCAGTGGACAAAGGGCCCAGGAGGAATCTCTGAGGGCAAAGAGGAACCACAAACTACTTCTTTTCCACCTCAAAAAAATCCTGCACTTCCTCCACAGCCCCAGAATATTTCACAGCCACCACCTTCTAACCCCCCTGCTGCTTCAGCCCCTGTGTCTGCTCCTCCTTTTAATACCCAGTATCCCCCTCCTCCATTTTACCCCCCATTTCCTCCTCCACATCCTTCTCAGTTTGCAGGTCCACCTCACTTGCCTCCCCACTTTCTCCCACAGTATTTTAACCAATATCCACCCCAGTATGCACCTCTGAGCCAGTCTCAGCCTCAGCAGCCACCTCAGCCTGCAGACCACAGCCAGGTCCTGCAGCACCCCAAGACTCCTCCTCCTCAGACTCTGGATGACATGCTGTCCTTCTACAGGAAGTCAACCTGAGCTCTGAAATATCATGTTTCATGTGTAGTTGGTTCATATTGTGTGAGTGGCTCAGCTCTTGGACTATAATATTAAATAAATATCAGGTATTTATCTGGACATTGGTCTGACTATTTTCTCATTGTGAAAAACTGCACTTTTTAAAAATTGCTTCAGCTCTTATATTGTATCTTTCACTTCATGAAGCAGCCGTGACCAAAAATATTGGCACCTCTACATTTCTGTCAGATAACACACCACCTCTCCCAGAAATATGATGCAATCACATTAGTTGGTATTTTAATTTTTATTTCTTTTGTTTGCAATGAAACAACACAAAAACAGAGGGAAAAGCCAAATCTGATCCATTCCACACAGAACTCCAAAAAGGGACTGGAGAGATTTATTGACATCAACTTAATATTTGGTAGCACACCCATTGGACAAAATAACTGAAATCCTGTGCTTCCTGTAACCATCAGTGAGTTTCTTCCACCTCTCTACTGGAATTTTGGACCATTCTTCTTTTGCCAATTGCTCCACTTCTCTCACATTTGAAGGGTTCCTTCTCCCAGTTGCTGACCGAAATGCAAGGGCGCTAACATTTTTGGCCTTTACTGTATGTGTGATGTCAAAGTGGCATAAAATGAGGTTGTGACCCTTATTTGAAACATGAAAAAATTAGTCTTGACACAGACTTGCAGTTTGGAAATACCCACAAGATGGTACTGTACACCTTCCTGTTGAGAAAATCTCCATTAATGACCAGACTGGTTGTGCACTGCGGTGATTTATCTTGACTGTTAGAAGGAATCATTCTTGAGCTGCAGCTAGCATCCATTTCCATTACTGATTAATCTGCAGATACTTTTCCTGTCAGTAGTATGAACTCCAGTAATGTTCAGTTAGTTTATTGTCACAAAAGAGAGAAAAGCAGCACAACTCCCCATTGTGGGGCTAACGAAGGTTGATCTTATCTTAACTGGCACGCTGGAACAAGAAAATGTTTTTTTTTTTTTTTACTTGTTGAAATAATCTGCAGTATATTATGTGTTATTTCTCAAACTGTGTTAAGTCATGTCAACTGAAAAGGCATCAGGAAAGATGTAAGTGTAGAAATGACATTTTCTGTGACGTGAGAGCCAGGGTACAGTTTAAACCCTTTAGTAACCTGAAGTGCTTCCTGGTGCCTCGATGGACCCATATAGATGTTCTGCATCACCTCTTTCCTCTGTCCTCCAACACAAGCTCAACATGAGAAGAAAGCTTTGCAAACAGCGCCGTGCCACTTCAAATCCTCATGTAGGGTGAGTTGTAAATAACAAAAATGTCAAATTCCAACTCCAGACAAGACACAGTGGGATGACGGCCTGCTCACATGCTTGTTCATGGCAGCCAGACATTGAGAATTTATAACAGAGCGTGATATAATAGCTTCTCTAACTTTTGTACTGCTTATCACAGAAGTGAGACTTAAATTACAAAGGTCAGTATTTTTGCCTCTGGGTTACAATGGGTTACATGTGTTCACATGAGACTGACACAGGCAATTGTCTGCCTGTGACCTCCTGCTGCACAGGAGAGGCCCGACTCACGTCAGGAAATGAGGGGAACTATTTAGAGGAGTTGATAGTTGCCAGTAGTTTGATTAATAGTAGCTAGAACTACAACTTGACCACAGATCAAAGACCAGATCACCCATCCAATCTGATATTCGGCTTAATTTCGGGCTCACTTGTTTCCTCTCTCAGGCAGGAGAACAGTTAGTTTGGCACTTTGTGTGTTTTGTGCATCTCCTGTATAAAGAGAGTGTTCTTTTCCTGGTGTGGAGGTTTGTTGACTCCACCGTGACCTTAAACACTTTGTTTTTTCCTCTGTTTCTGCAGTATTAGGTTAGACCAGTCCAAGTAAAGTGGAAAATACACACTCAGGCAGCCTCACCACTGTTCCCCTGGTAAGTGTGTGTGTGCATTCATTCCTATACAGTAAGTGTTTAAGTATGTCTGTCTGGAAAATGATGTTTGTCAGCATTGCTGAAGCCAATTTTCTGCCTGAATAAATCTTGTGCGTGGAAGGTGAGACAATGTTGATACAGTGACGGGACCTCAGAGTGGTAGTTATACAGCGGATTTAAAGATGTTTCTACAAGTATACATAATGCAGCAGAGACCGCAATGCTCATAACAGTAAAGACAAGCTATGCTTAAAGAAGTTTATGACAGAATAATTCAGCACTAATAAGCGGCAGCTTGTCTTTCTTGTGGTCAGGTGTGTTGTTTTGAGCTCTGGCGGCGTCGGCTCTCTGCTTTGGTCCGGTCTGAAGTCGCTCAACATCTGTTGGATGAGTTTTGTATGTTCATGGTCAGTGGTGGAACAAGTACTCAGATTGTTCACTTAAGTAAAATTATCAGTACCATTGTGTAGAAATACTCTATAACAACAAAAGCATTAGCATCAAAATATACTGAAAGTACTAAAAGTACAGTACTCATTATGGAGAATGGCACAGTTGAAAAAATGTTACTTAAATAAAAGGACAAAATATACTTAAAGTACCAAAAGTAAAAGTAGTCACTATGCAGAATGGCACATTTTATGCTGTAACACGTTATTTAATTATAATTATTGATGCATTATTGCTTTTGTCCCTTTAATGTTGCACCTGGTAAAGGTGGAGCTAATGTGAACTACCTTATATGTTTATAATTTGAAGTACTTTACTGTACATATTAATGGGTAACTTGTAAATTTCCCACCAGGAATCAATAAAGTCTGATGATTATACTGTATATTTTTATTCACCTTATTTTGAGAAGTAACTAGTAACTAAAGTCATGGAATAAATGTAGAGTAAAAAAGTATAGTCATTTTCTCTAAAATGTAGTGAAGGTGAAGTATTAACTAGCAGAAAATGAAAATACTCAGTAAAATACAAATACCTCAAAATTGTACTTAAGTACAGTACTTGAGTACTTTCCACATCTGTTCCTGGTTACCAGAGGATGAGTTCTTATGAGTGAAATGTCTAAACAGCTGCTGGATGGATGGCTCCATGTACGTATACTATATGTAAAATATGCACACAAACTCCTCTTGGATAGCACAAACAAAAGCTCTAATGCTCAGATCAGCCTTGTTTATTTTCAGCCCCCGTGCTGATCATCTACCCTGTGCTGTAAACCAGGGCTCAAACTGATGCCTCTCATGTGTGGGTTTACCACAGCACAAATAACTGACAGACTGGAGAAAAATGTGCATCTTCTCAGCTTAATTTGTCTTGCTGACTCATCACTTTGATTGAGTCCAATCACTTATTCAGAACAATGAGGGACGTCTCATTGACAGGTCCATCCTCCTCTCAGAGGTCGGCTACACTGAGAAATGGTCTCTGCACTTAGCTGTGGCAGTTTAATCCTGCTGTGGCTGAGGAAAATGGCAACCTGCTGTTTTCATAATAGAAAATAAATTACCTTCAGCAAGTGGAAGCTGCAGAGCTAATGTAAAGGTATTTTTCTATGTAGTTTAGTTTGCTGATATTGTATCATAGTAGTAGCTATTGAACTACTAGTCACATGCTGTTCACACCTATATTGGCATTTACACACAGTGTTGGTGTTGGTTAAATGTTGATATTCCTAAAAGTAGCATACAGCTATAAAACTAGAAGGTAATGGAGCTTTTACGAGGCAGTTTATGAGTTGAAGATGGTGTCTGACACTTGTTCTTCAGTAATCCTGTCTTGTGTTCTCTAGACCTGAACAGGCAATCAATACTGTCTTTATGGCGCCGCAGGTCCCTGATCCAGAGAGGATGGGAGGGAAAGGCTTTGCCCCAGTTGCACTCAAATTAAAGGCAAACAAGGACAATGAGCTGCCGTGTTAGGAAAATGGAACTTCTGACAAGGTAGGACAATACACTGGAGTTTTGTAAAAGGTTGTGTACTAAGTTTTTGTGTTGTTAGTGTGGAGCTGCCCTGGATTTGTCTGTATCTTCCTCTGTACTGGCTCCTTCTGACAAAACTAACTGCTGCAATAAGATGCTGAGACATGCAGATGTTGTTATTTGAAAGTCACACGCCATGTGCGACTTTTTCAAGGGTATGCTGTGTTATACTTAAAGGGATAGTTGGACATTTTGAGAAACTACATTTATTTGGAGTGTTAGATCAGAAGTCTGATACCACTATCACGTCTGTTTATTAAATATGAAGCTACAGGCAGCTTAGCTTAGCATGGAGGCTGGAAACAGGCCAAAACTATTAGCCTGGTTCTATGCAAGGTCACAAAATCAGTGTAACAGCACCTCTAAAGGTCAGAAATTACTATGTTATATCTTGTTTGTTTAGTCTGTTCACGAACCAAAGCTAATTCACCATTTATTGGGGACTTATGTACCTGACCATTTTTTGTCTTCTTTGAGCCACTTCACTTCATTTGCAGGGGCAAATATAGAAAATTTTGGACGGGATGGCCAGGCTGGAGCACAGACTTAGAGAGTGGTGGCATGTTTGAACATGTAAAATTAAATTAAATCCTTAATTATATGAAATTAAAGACTATGCCTTATAAAGAATCTAACTGCTTATGCTGTGTAACAATGAGACACGCACAGTGTTTAGCTAACTTTAGCTGCACTCCCCATTTGCTCCTGGTCAGGGATATCGCTGCTGCACAGTAGTTTCCCTTCCACTGAGGCGAATCATGTCAGGTACTCCACATCAACACAATCGGAGAAATGAATGCAAATATCATGTTGCGTTTGTGCTATAAAATAAAACTTATTTGACCAATAAAGCACCAGAAAAATATTGGTTGTATTTATGGTAACAATTTGTTATTGTTTTTCACTTTTCATTCATTAATACTGACAAGCATCATGTTTTGACTCTGGCAGGGGGTGGCTAGTGCCACCCTTCGCCACCACCTGGATCTACCCATGTTCATTTGTACTATATCATCACAGGTTTTCCCCAGATCTGCACAAAGTTTACTGCTGGTGTACCTCCAGTGAGGCGGTAGGGTCTCAGACAACAGCCTCAACTGTAAGAGGTCTTTAATCCACAGAGTGGTTTTACGACGCAGAGTCTCAATGACACAACTGGGGACTGAACTTACAAGCTG